TATATATATATATATGTTCAATTTGAAAATATATATGTTCAATTTGAATACTTGTAAAACTAAGAATATTTTGTAATGAAATTACCATTCTGAAACGATGGGCTGCAAAACCAATAGAACCTCCAGTATGCAACGCTCCACCCTTAGTAGAAACGCTGTTTAACTTTGCCTGTTCACTCTTCTTCTTCCACTCAGGGGTGTTCCACTTTGCCAAGAGCTGACTCCAGATATCTTCACATATCCAATTAGGCCTGGTGCCACCTCTCCTAGCAATATGATGTGAATCTGTTAACCACTTCTGTGCTCTCTTCTCGAAGTTTTCATTCACCAGGTTTTCAAGTGTAGGCTGCCATACACACCTAACCTGCAAAGTTGAATAAATAATATTAGACGAATGAGGATAGATGTTAATAAAAATTAATTTATTCTTACCTTAAATTGTTGCCAGATATTCATTCTGATATGGTACGGTATCTTTCTCGAGGAATTCCACGGCTCATGAAAACATGGCTTCATAGATTCCATCACCATATGCGTGGCCTAAAGGATGGCAAAAACCTGCATTTAATTTAACATATAAAATGTCATTATATGCAAAATTTTATTGAAAGTTTTTATAAGGAAATTGAAAGAAAACTCACCCGTCGCCATGAGGAATGATAATCAGCCGATGAAGATGATCATATTGTACAGTCCCTCCAATACATTGTCTCACGATACCAGCAATTATAGAAGTACGGGTAGATAGGGATGCAGCTGCGTGAGAGCCTCCAATATCCAAGTTAGATATACTTAGAGTGGATGATGATGGAGATGATAATTGAGTGGGCGATATATGAGGCACAAAAGATGAACCACCATGCTGACTACTATGATGGCTCGGGGATGCAATCGGTGGTGAGCCACCAAACTGACTAGCAGGATCACGCAGGGAAGAAGCTGGAAAATGAGGCGTGGGTATAAAATTAATGGTGGTCGAAGCTGAGCCACCATGAGAAGGCATGGAGTAATACTGAAGCGAGCTAGACGGGGGAGGGACTTTGAAAAAGTAAGATGACTGTGAAGCTGGCATGGAAGGACGAGGAGGCATAGGAGGCGGACTCATATTTGGTGTAGGTGGAGGAAGCTGACTTGATCCAGGTAAAGTGTATTTTTTCTTCTTAGATTTTTTTATTTCTTTACCGCGAGAATCCATCTGTGTAATGAATATAAAATATTTACAAGTAAAAAAATTTAACACAACAAATATAAACATAAAGTATATATAATAAATATAACAATATAAACATTAAAAAATGAAGATGTCATTAATAATATAAAGTAATTTTATTACATATTGCAATGAAGCACAACATAATATATAAATATTGAACAATTCATAAAACACACAAATAGCTTAATCCCTATCACTTGTTTCATTTTTATTTTCTTCATCATATAATTCTTCATCACTTGTTTCATTTTTATTTTCTTCATCATATAATTCTTCATCGCTTGTTTCATTTTCATCACACCACTATTATTTGTTTTCTTACCCTTAGACCATTCTTCTGTATGAAACTTGTACCCATTGATATAATACATAGACATCTTTCTGACTCTAGGATCAGGTCCCCAAGCTATATCTTGAAAATATTGGTCATTTACACCATTAACTAGATTATGAACCTATAAAGGGTAAAATAATTTAGAATTATTTAAATACATATAACTTATTATAATTTACTGTTAATAAAACCATCTTAAAAATTAAGTAACACTTACAAATTCTTTAAACCATTATGAAAATTTTGGATAAACAAGCTCTTACCCATATGTACCCACAAACCAACTATCCGACAAAATAAAAAATATCATTACTTAAAACGGTGATGAATCTTTAATATATGTAGGTAATAATATAAATGTATACTTACTTATAGTAAGGTTGGTGTAACGACTCGACCGGTCGTTTTGCTTTTTAGAAGTCCGTTCCCCTAAATAAGACTTCTTGTACATGATCTTACTATTTTATGACTTGCGGTAATGGTTAGTTCGGGATTTGGAAGGGTTCGGGTTGAAATCGGAACACTTGGTACCTTAAGGTGGGCTTAAAAGGCCAAGTTTGACTTCGGTCAATATTTTGAGTAAACAACCTCGGGATCGGGATTTGACAGTTTTAATAGGTTCATATGATGATTTCGAACTTGGGCGTATGTTCGGATCGGGTTTTGGATGACCCGGGAGCATTTCGACGCCTAATAGTGAAAGTTGGTTCTTGAAGGTTTTAAAAGTTCTTTAAATTTGGTTTGGAGCGATTTTGGTGATATCGAGGTCCAAATGGAATTCCGAGACCGGTAATAGTTCTGTAATGTCATTTAAGACATGCATGTAAAATTTGGTGCCAGTCCGAGTAGCTTAAGTACGTTTCGGCGCATTGGAAGTAAATTGAAGAACTTGAAGTTCTTAGGTTTGATTCAATTGGTTTTGGGGTGCGATTCTTTGTTTTAATATTATTTTGGGCATTCCGAGAGTTCGAGCAAGTCTGTTTTGTGATTCCAAACTCGTTGGTATGTACGGGCGGGGCCCCGGGGACCCCGAGTGTCAATCGGATGAGGCTCAGACCAAGATGAGAATTTGGAGCAGCAGCTAATGCACCAGATCTGTCAAAACCGCACATGCGCTTGGTCAGCCGCAGGTGCGGACCAAGCCTCGCAGAAGGGGCCAAAGGAGGGCAGCCCAGGTTCCGCAGATGCGGCCTATCCTCCGTAGAAACGGGACCGCAGAAGGGGGTACCCGTCCGCGGAAGCGGTCCCAGCCGGCCTAGTTAATTCCGCAGAAGCGGACCCTTGTTCGCAGAAGCGAGGGTGCAGGTGCGGCCCTATGACTGCAGGTGCGGAAACCGCTGGAGGCAGTGAGCCTCATTTATTACAAGTTAGGACCATTTTTATCACATTTTCTTCCACTCTTGGGCGATTTGAGAGCTTCTAAGTAGGGGATTTCGACCTAGCTTTGTAAGGTAAGTAATTTCTTCTAAATATGAGTTTTAGTACATATATTATGGGTAGATTTCCACATGAAAATTGGTAGAAATCATGGATTGAGATGAAAAACCTAGGGTTTAATAAAAATGAGGTCTTACCATGAAAATGATTATGAAACTTAGTGAAAATCATATATTATGTTCCTAAGGTTATGTGTAACAATTTTCTTCAAAAATTACCGGGGGAAATTTTAGGAATCTTGCAATTTTGGTTGGGTAATCACGTTAATAGTGGAGATATGAACTTTTGATCAATATATTGATCTATTTATATTATGTTTGGCTAGTTCCGAGTCGTTCGACATCAAATTTGGAGGTTAGAACGCATTCTTGAATTGGGAAGTAAGCTTTGAGACGAGGTAAGTCTCTTTTCTAACCTTGTAAGAGGGAACTTACCCCATAGGTGGACTTAATTAATATGTGTTGTTATTTGTGGGGGGTACGTACGCACGAAGTGACGAGAGTCCATACGTAGCTACTAGTCCTGTTTATGTCCGGATTGTTTTTAGGTTTACACCATGCTTGTGGACACCGTTATTTGATTATATTTGTTGACTGCATCAAATGGAACTGAGTTAGGGATTTTTAAGGATTTAAAAGCTTCAAGTCGAATTGTCTTTATTTTGAAAAGAATCAAGGAACAGTTATGATTTATTGACAAATTTATATTTTATCGCGTTGCATGCATGATTCGCGAGCGGGGTAATAGATGCATCTATGGTTTGCGCCGTTCGACCCTCGGCAGTGCACAGTTTACATTTATATTGGATCGGTCCGAACGTCCTCGGTGGTATTCATGTGTGATAATAGAACTGGATGTTCCTTTCATAATCGGTATAAATTCATTGTTGTGTGATCATATGTTTTACGGAAAAGGTCCAAATATGCCCTTGTACTATATGAAATTGAGTACATTTGCTTTCTGGAAACAATTTAAATATTTTGGTCTTTTGAGTATTGTTAAAGGTTGAGATGTTTTTATTATTTTTAAGTTTAAACCATAATTTTTGGAACAATTTAATTTCATTTATTTATAGGGCTAGTGAAATTGGAACTTGATTACCTTATGGGAGAATTTTCTTAGTAATTGTAATTCATGAGTTTTTTCAAGTGAAATTAGTGATGAAAATGGAGAAGACATCAGTGATGGAGGAAACAGATAAGGGAGAAAGAAAAAGGAAAAAAAGAGAAGAAAAGAAAAAAGAAGAAAGAAAAGAAAAAAGAAGAAAGAAAAGAGAAAGGTAAAGAAAAAAGTACTAATAAAAAGGAAATAGTGTTTGTAATACGGTTTAATACAATTAACGAAAGAGCTAATTAATTTGGATGAATTTCGTTTCGAAAAGGGCATATATGGGCCAACTGTGTAACTCTAAGGGCATATATGGACCAACTATGTGACGGTAAGGGCATATTTGAGATAAAGTATTAACGAAGGACAAATGTACTCAATTTCGTATAGTACAAGGGCATATTTGGACCTTTGCCCTATGTTTTAAAGGAAAGAAGTGATTCAAGCTCTTAAATATTTCTGAAGACCTGTTCAGCTATTTCTTATTCTGAGACTTATTGTTGTATATCATGCTTAATTAAAAATTTCATATTATCATATTATTGGCCCTAGTAAGTGTCGGAGTCGACCCCTCGTCACTACTTCTTCGAGGTTAGACTAGATACTTACTGGGTACATATTATTTATGTACTCACGCTACACTTCTGTACTTAATTGTATAGGATCTGAGGCAGGTGCATCTGGATACTAGTCTGGTGCGCAGATTTGATCCCCATCTCGAGACTTCACGGTAAGCTGCCTTCCGAGCCGTTCTACAGTAGCTGGAGTCTCCCTTATGTTTTTTTTTCTGTCTATTTCATTTCAGACAGTAGGCTAGTATCCTTTTGTATATTCTACTAGATTGCCCACATACTTGTGACACCAGGTCTTGGCACACACACTAGTAAACTTATGATTTTGGATTTGTTTACATGATTACGATTTGCACTCGTTTGTTTACAAATGAGGATATGTCATCCACTTAGTATTTTATTTAAATGGGAAACCACTAGTTTGTTCAGTGTTGGCTTGCCTAACAATAGTGTTGGGCGCCATCACGGCCTAAGATGGAATTGGGTCGTGATAGTTGGACCTCTGGGCAATTCAAAAGCACATGTGTTGTAGCTGACTTTAGTTTCATCTCACTCAAAAGTCATTTTGAACTATGTTTTGGACTGCCTTTACCTGGTTGATTGAATATGGAAAATGGTGGATACGAAGGATCGGTACCTCCATCATCATGCCGGTCAGGTCTATTTCTCAAACATGGCACATCATGTTCAAAATAATATGAACAAAAATAAGAAGTTTCTCTAGCAACATATGCCTCACAAATCGATCCTTCAATCCTAGATCTATTTTTGACAGTCCGCTTACATTTGCCAATAATCCTGCATATTAGCATTATTTTTAGATGGAATAATGTTTAAATGAAACACATAAGGATTAATGATTAATAGTTATTAATTACCTCTAAAATGGATACATCCATCTGCATTGAACTGGCCCTCCAAGCCATGCCTCTTGTGCAAGGTGAAT